TTTTGAGACGGAGTTTCGCTCTTGTTACCCAGGCTGGAGTGCAATGGTGCGATTTCGGCTCACCGCAACCTCTGCCTCCTGGGTTCAAGCCATTCTCCTGCCTCAGCCTCCCGAGAAGCTGGGACTACAGGCGTGCACCACCATGCCCAGCTAATTTTTGTATTTTTGGTAGAGACGGGGTTTCACCATGTTGACCAGGACGGTCTCGATCTCTTGACCTCGTGATCCACCTGCCTCGGCCTCCCAAAGTGCTGGGATTATAGGCGTGAGCCACCACGCCCGGCCAGAATATGCATTTTGATAAAATCCCCAAGTAATTTGTTTTCACATTAAAGATTGTGGGAGCAGTGCTTTGAGCCAGTAGTTCTCAGTGGTGACCAAAGCTTTTTACTCAAGGAGTTGTTGTTTTCCTCTCTCCCCCGAAATGGAGTCTTATTCAGTCACCACGCTGGAGTACAGTGGTGTGATCTTACTCAAGGAGTTTTTAAACAATTGATACTTTGGCTCCCCCTTAGAGAGATTCTGGGATAAGTCTGGCTATTAGGGTTTTTAAATAAAAGATTTAACCAGGCATGGTGGCTCACACCTGTAATCCCAGCATTTTCGGAGGCCAAGATGGGTGGATCACCTGAGATCAGGAGTTCAAGACCAGCCTGACCAACATGGCAAAATCCCATCTTGACTGAAATTACAAAATTAGCTGAGCATGGTGGTGCATGCCTGTAATTCCAGCTACTGGGGAGGCTGAGGCAGGAGAATCTCTTGAATCCAGGAGGCGGAGGTTGCAGTGAGCTGAGATTGCACCATTGCACTCCAGCCTGGACAAAAGTGAAACTCTGTCTCAAAAAAAAAAAGATTTAACAGTGCAGCTGAGAAGCACTGCACTAGCCAGTTGCAGTGCTGCTTTTGCTGTTAAGAAGTAGAACTCCAAAGTTGCTTAAAAGTAGGACAGCAAGGAATAGAGAAGATTTTCTTAAATAAATGAACTATACGTAACATTTTTCTGGCAATTTTGCAGAAGGATCTAATACAAAACAATACTGACACATTTTCATGGTTTCTCTCCTATAGGCTCAGACTGTCCAGGTTGCTGAAGTTGAACCACAATCACAGCCACAGCCTTCCCCAGAACTTCTGCTTCCAAATTCTTTGAAGCCAGAAGAAGGGCTTGAAGTATGGAAAAACTGGGCCCAGACCAAGAATGCTGAACTAGAGAAAGATGCTCAGAACAGATTGGCACCCATTGGGAGTGAGTGTTTGGGAAGAAGAGTGGGCTCTGTCTAAAATACAACAGGGGGACAAAATGGCAGAAAAGTGATATCCCCTGTCTTGGAGACGAGAGCAAAATCTGAAATAGTATGTTGAGTTCAAGCCTAGCAACAAGCAGTACTGACCTTTTGTACATAATAAGCAGGATGTGTGGGGTTTGCCCCAAATCAGGTATTTTTAGACATAGTGGGTTTCTGGAGTTGACCCTACCAGACCTGAGCAAAATGGCTTCTGGGAGGAAATGGGAACCAAGGAGTATGCAGTCAAGGCGCTTCTTTCTTGGCGTTAGGCTCATATACTCACATTATAGGCCTGTTCTGACATTACAGATGTAAGACATTACAGTAGATACAAGTGACATTTCTAGCCCAGCACCCTGATGGGCAGTATCTGTTCTGAGCTTTTCAGATATGGACCCACAGGACCTCCATTCATCCTGGGTTGCCAGGACCTCCATTCATCTTTGGGGCTTCTGTTGCAGGGCGCCAGCTGCTGCGATTCCAGGAAGATCTCATCTCCTCTGCTGTGGCAGAGTTGAATTATGGGCTCTGTCTAATGACACGGGAAGCTCGAAATGGAGAAGGTGAACCCTATGACCCAGATGTGCTCTACTATATTTTCCTGTGTATTCAAAAGGTAGGAAACAGATCTTCACGAGAACATGTTTGATCTGGGTTCTTCTTTTTTTTTTTTTTTTTTAAAAGAGATGGGATCTCACTATGTTGTCCAGACTGGAGTGCAGTGGCTATTCACAGGCGCAGTCCCCCTAGTGATCAGCACAAGAGTTTTGACCTGCTCCATTTCCGACATGGGCTGGTTCACTCCTCCTTAGGCAACCTGGTAGTCCCCTGCTCCCAGGAGGTCACCATATTGATGCTGAACTTAGTGCAGACACCCGATTGGCATAGCCCACTGCAGCCCAGAACTCCTGGGCTCAAGCTATCCTCCCACCTCAGCCTCCCGAGTAGCTGGGACTACAGGCACCCGCCACCACACCTGGCTGATCTGGGTTCTAATTGGGATATTTGCTAGTTTTTCAGTCTTTTTTTTTTTTTTTTTTTTTGAGACGGTGTCTTGCCCTGTCACTCAGACTGGAGTGCTGTGGCACCATCTCGGCTCACTGCAACCTCTGCTGGGTTCAAGTGATTCCCAGTAGCAGCTGGGGTTATAGGCATCTGTCACCACGCCCAGCTAATTTTTGATTTTTAGTAGAGATTTTTCAATATGTTGCCTCAGCCTCTGTAGTAGTAGCTGGCATTATAGTTACCTGCCAACATACTCAGCTAATTTTTGTATGTTAGTAGAGATTTTTCAATTTGTTGGCCAGTCTGGTCTCAAAACTCCTGACATTATGATCCACTCATCTCGGCCTCCCAAAGTGTTGGGATTACAGGTGTGAGCCACCTCACCTGGCCTTTTTTAAGTTTTAAAAACCTACATGTTCACTTTAGAAAATTAGAGCCAGTGCTGGGCGCTGGTGGCTCCCACCTGTTACCCCAGTGCTTTGGGAGGCCAAAGCAGGTGGGTCTGTTGAGGTCAGGAGGAGTTGAAGATGACCAGCCTGGCCAACATGGTGAAACCCCGTCTACTAAAAATATAAAAATTTGCCAGGTGTGGTGGTGCCCACCTGTAATCCCTACTACCTGGGAAGCTATCTCTACAAAAAATTAGCCAGGCTTGATAGTGATGGCCTGTAGTCCTAGCTACATGGGAGGCTGAGGTGGGAGGATTGCTTGAGCCCCAGAAGTTGGGGCTGTAGTGAGTCATGGTTATGTCACTACACTCCAGCCTGAATGACAGAGTGAGACCCTGTCTCAAAAACAAAAAGAAGAAAAAAAAATTAGCCAGACGTGGTGGTGCATACCTGTAGTCCCAGCTATTTGGGAGATTGAGACAGGAGGATCCCTTGAGCCCAGGAGTTTGAGGCTATGGTCAGGTATGTTTACGCCATTGTACTTCAGTCTGGGCAACAGAATGAGACCTTCTCACTTAAAAAAATAAATACATAAAATAATAAAGTAGAAAAAAAACACTATTCATCATCCTACTACCTAGAGAAACTTCTGTTACATTATTGGTAATTACCTTGCAGCCATTCACTTTTATTGTAAATCACAAAGCATTAATGTAACACTTTTCTTTTTGTTACAGTAAACATGGTTTTCATGAAAGTAATTTATTCAAAACAAAGTCTTGTGCTAGCATAAAGCTTTTCTTCTCGTTGTTCCCTGCATTAGCACCAAATACTTATTTAAAGGAGCGTAGAATAACATACCAATGTAGTTAGGTTTTCAGGACATCTGTGGTGAAGCATAACAGGGAAATTTATAGACTGGCAGTTCAGGGACTGAGAAGTGGATTTTTTTTTTTTGAGACAGTTTTGCTCTTTGTTTCCCAGGCTGGAGTGCAATGGTGTGATTTCGGCTCACTGCAACCTCCGCCTCCCAGGTTCAAGCGATTCTTCTGTCTCAGCCTCCGATGTAGCTAGGATTACGGGTGTCTACTACCACACCCGGCTAATTTTTGTATTTTTAGTAGAGATAGGGTTTCACCATGTTGGCCAGGCTGGTCTCGAACTCCTGACCTCAGGTGATATGCCTGCCTCAGCCTCCAAAAGTGCTGGGATTACAGGCGTGAGCCACCGCGTCCAGCCAGATTTCTTAGTGTTCAAAGGATCTTGAGGAAAAACCTACAGTATAATAGGACAAGGGTTACTGGTTGGGACTCATCCTGTTGCCTAGTTTTGACAAATGTATGCCTCCTAGTTTTTTCCTCTGTCATTGATTCTATCCTAAGTACTATGTGAATTGCTTTACATGCTTTCATTCTGTGCTCTGCCCAGTCTTAGAAGACAGATACTGTCATCTCCATTTATAGGCAAGGAAACTGAGCCCCAGAAATTAAAAGACTTGCACATGTTATTTAACTTATACAATATCTAATGGAAGGCAGAGCCTATTCATGATTGTTGCTACCACAAAACTATGCCTGGCTTGGGTGAAGTAGCATTCACAGTGTATGCCTTATTTACCCAACTTTCAAGAATGTTGTGAGAATCAGTCACATGAGATTAAGTATACTATGAAAGTGTTACATGCTGGTGCCTTGGTTTGTTGAGGTGTGAATGGGTGGGGAAGGACAGTAGTACTGGTAGAAAAATATATTTATATCCCCTGAAAGCCTTGTTCAGGAGACTACCAATAACTTCTGTTGATTGTTTTTCTTTTAGTATCTTTTTGAAAATGGAAGGGTAGATGACATTTTCTCCGATCTTTATTATGTTCGGTTCACGGAGTGGCTACATGAAGTTCTGAAGGATGTTCAGCCCCGGGTCACTCCACTTGGTAAGAGTCTCCCTTGTCCTTGGATGTCTTTCCCACCTGGATTTAAGAAAGATCAACAGTGGCTGGGTGAGGTAGCTCTTGCCTGTAACCCCAGCACTTTCTGAGCCTGAGGCGGGCAGATCACCTGAGGTCAGAAGTTCCAGGCCAGCCTGACCGACATGGAGAAACCCCTTCTCTACTAAAACTACAAAATTAGCTGGGCATGGTGGTGCATGCCTGTAATCCCAGCTATTCAGGAGGCTGAGGTGGAAGAATTGCTTGAACCCAGGCGGTGGAGGTTGTGGTGAGCCCACATCATGCCATTGCACTTCATGCTGGGAAACAAGAGTGAAACTCTGTCTCAAAAAAAGCAAAAAGAAAGATCAACAGCTTCTGTGGTTGGCTGTGAAATAGCATGTGGGTGAGGGGGCTATAAAATCCCAGATTGCAGCAGCATTGGCCACTGTGCTACTTGCCCTGATAGGCAAGAGACACTGCGCACTAGAGAACCCTGCTGGTCCCAGTGTGGGAAGGACACAGGAACAAGCAGAACTAGTGGGGTAGTTACTATCTTTCTTTTCTATTAAAATGTACTGATTAAAATTACAATCATTATAACAATTAAAAAATTATGGACAGTTTTATCTGTAGAGCATAATTTTTGCTTTACTAACAGGTAGCATTCTCGACAGCATGTTCTCGAAACAAAAGCGTAGGTTATTCAGTGATTTTGTTTTTGTTCTGTTTTTTTTTTGTTTGTTTTTGTTTGCTTGAGACAGAGTCTCACTTTGTTGCCCAGGCTGGAGTGCAATGGCACGATCTCGGCTCACCGCAACCTCCGCCTCCCGGGTTCAAGTGATTCTCCTGCCTCAGCCTCCCAAGTAGTGATTACAGGCATTAGCCACCATGATCGGCCTGTTTGTTTAGAAAAAAACATGGTCTTGGTATGTTACTGAGATGGCCCTCCAACTCTTGAGCTCAAGTGATCCTCCTGCCTTGGCCTCCTGAGTAGCTGGGGCTATAGGCATGTGCTACCATGCTTAGCTATTTTTGTTTTTAATAGACTTTGGTTTTTGTTTTTATGAGATGGAGTTTCACTCTTGTTGCCAAGGCTAGAGTGCAATGGTGCAATCTTGGCTCACTGCAACCTCCGCCTACTGGGTTCAAGGGATTCTCCTGTCTAAGCATCCCAAGTAGCTGGGATTACAGGTGCATGCCACCTTGACTGGCTAATTTTTTTTTTTTTTTTTTTGAAATGGAGTCTGGTTCTGTTGCCCAGGCTGGAGTGCTGTGGCATGATCTCTGCTCACTGCAACCTCTGCCTCCTAGGTTGAAACGATTCTTCTGCCTCAGCCTCCCGAGTTGCGGGGATTATAGGTTTGCGCCATCATGCCCGGCTAATTTTTGTATTTTTAGTAGAGACAGGGATTTCACCATGTTAGTCAGGCTACTCTGGAACCCCTGAACTCGTGATCCGCCCGCCTCGATCTCCCAAAGCGCTGGGATTATAGGCATGAGCCACTGCACTCAACCTAATTTTTGTATTTTTAATAGAGACAGGGTTCACCATGTTGGTCAGGCTGCTCTGGAACTCCTGACCTTGTGATCCGCCCGCCTCGGCCTCCCAAAGTGCTGGGATTACAGGCATGAGCCACTGCACTCAGCCTAATTTTTGTTTTTTTGTTTTTTTTTTTGAGACGGAGTGTCACTCATGTTACCCAGGCTGGAGTGCAATGGCACGATCTTGGCTCACCACAACCTCCGCCTCCTGGGTTCAGGCAATTCTCCCGCCTCAGCCTCCTGAGTAGCTGGGATTACAGGCACGCACCACCATGCCCAGCTAATTTTTTGTATTTTTAGTAGAGACGGGGTTTCACCATGTTGACCAGGATGGTCTCGATCTCTTGACCTCGTGATCCACCCGCCTCGGCCTCCCAAAGTGCTGGGATTACAGGCTTGAGCCACCACGCCTGGCCATAAATTTTTTTTGATATGGAGTCTCTCTGTGTCACTCAGGCTGGAGTGCAGTGGTGCAGTCTTGGCTCACTGCCGCCTCCGCCTCCTGGGTCCAAATGATTCTCCTGCCTCAGCCTCTGAATAGCTGGGATTACAGGCATCTCCCACTACACCCAGCTAATCTTTGTGTTTTCAGTGGAAATGGGGTTTCATCATGTTGGCCAGTCTGGTCTGGAATTCTTGACCTCAAGTGATCTGCCCTCCTTGACCTTTCAAAGTGCTGGAATTACAGTGTGAGCCACAGTGCCTGGCCCAATATTTATATATGCATACATATACATATTACACATATATACATACACACATATATATATATATATGAGAAAAAATTCCATTATCATACCTTTTTTTTTGAGGCAGAGTCTCACTCTGTCACCCAGACTGGAGTGCAGTGGAACAATCTCAGCTCACTGCAACCTCTGCCACCTGGGTTCAAACAATTCTTGTGCGCCTCTTGAGTAGCTGGGACCACAGGTGTGCACTACCACACCCAGCTAATTTTTGGTATTTTTAGTTGAGATGTGGTTTCACCATGTTGGCCACACTGGTCTTGATCTTCTGGCCTCAAGTGATTGGCCTGTCTCTGCCTCCCAAAGTGCTGGGTTTACAGGCATGAGCCACTGGGCCCAGACTATCATACTTCTTTTTGTTTGTTTGTTTTGTTTTGTTTTGTTTTGTTTTTAGAGACCGGGTTTCACCACGTTGGCCAGGCTGGTCTCGAACTCCTGACCTCAAGCAATCCGCCTGCCTCGGCCTCCCAAAGTGCTGGGATTACAGGCATGAGCCACCACACCCTGCCATACTTTTTAATTTTTAATTTTTATTTTGTTTTGAGACAGAGTCTCACTTTGTCACCTGGGCTGGAGTGCAGTGACACAATCTTGGCCTAACTCCCAGATTCAAGCGATTCTCCTGCCTCAGCCTCTTGAGTAGCTGGGATTACAAGCATGATCCACAACATCCGGCTAATTTTTGTATTTTTAGTAGAGACAGGGTTTTACTGTGTTGGCTAGCTGGTCTCAAACTCCTTACCTCAGGTGATTCGCCCACCTCAGCCTCCCAAAGTGTTGGGATTACAGGCATGAGCATGAGCCACCATGCCTGGCTCATAACTTTAAAAAATAATAGGCCGGGCGCGGTGGCTCAAGCCTGTAATCCCAGCACTTTGGGAGGCCGAGGCGGGTGGATTACAAAATCAAGAGATCAAGACCATCCTCATCAACACGGTGAAATCCCGTCTCTACTGAAAATACAAAAAATTAGCTGGGCATGGTGGCGCATGCCTGTAATCCCAGCTATTCAGGAGGCTGAGGCAGGAGAATTGCCTGAACCCAGGAGGCGGAGGTTGCGGTGAGCCGAGATCGTGCCATTGCACTCCAGCCTGGGTAACAAGAGCGAAACTCCGTCCCAAAGAAAATAATAATAATAATAACAATAATAATAATAATAAGCAGTTGGGCATGGTGGCTCATGCCTGTAATTCCAGCACGTTGGGAGGATGAGGCGGGTGGATCATGAGGTCAGGGGTTCGAGACCAGCCTGGCCAACATGGTGAAACCCTGTCTACTAAAAATTTAAAAAAAAATTAGCCAGGCATGGTGGCGGGCCCTTAAACTTGGGAGACGGAGGTTGCAGCTAGTGGAGATCTCGCCATTGCACTCCAGCCTGGGCAACAATGAGACTTTCTCTCAAAATAAAATAAAAAAGTATATATGTGTCATTAAAAGTCTACCTTTATCAAAATTTCTAATAGTATCATAAATTTCATTATTTTGATTTATCTGAATAAAGGTTTAAAAAAAAAGTCTACATATTGAAATTGGCTGTGTCTTTTTTTTTTTTGTTTTTGAGACAGTCTCTCTCTGTCGCCCAGGTCAGAGTGATGTGGCAAGATCTCCACTCACTCTAACCTCCGCCTCCTGGATTCAAGTGATTCTCATGCCACAGCCTCCTGAGTAGCTGAGACTACAGGCGGGTACCACCATGCCCAGTTAATTTTTGTATTTTTAGTAGAGACAGGGCTTTACCATGTTGGCCAGGCCGGTCTCGAGCTACTGACCTCAGGTGATCCCCCCCTGCCTTGGCCTCCCAAAGTGCTGGGATTACAGGTGTGAGCCACTGTGCCCTGCCCAGCTATGTTTTTTTAATATTTGCTTTTTGTTTGTTTTAAGATGGAGTCTTGCTCTGTCACCCAGGCTGGAGTGCAGTGGTGTGATCTTGGCTCACTACATCCTCCCAACTCCCGGGTTCAAGTAATTCTCTGACCTCAGCCTCCTAAATAGCTGGGACTATAAGTGCATGCTGCCATGCCCAGCTAATTTTTATGTTCTTTTAGTAGAGATGGGTTTCACCATGTTGGCCAGGTTAGTCTCAAACTCTTGACCTCAGGTCATCCGCCTGCCTAGGCCTCCCAAAGTGTTGGGATTAGAGGCATGAGCCACCGCACCCTGCCAGTTTTTTGTATTTCAGTAGAGACAGCTTTTTACCGTGTTGCCCACGCTAGTCCTGAGCTCAGGCAATCTGCCTGCCTCAGCCTCCCAAAGTGCTGGAATTGCAGGTATGAGCCACCACTCCCAGCCTTAATATTTACTGTTAATCCTAATTTCCTCCTCCTTTTTGTCTTACAATATATTCATGGAAGAAAGTAGCCTTTGAAATTGTCAGAGTCTTATTTTTTGCTGATTACATCCAGTGTAGTTTAACATATTCTTTTTTCCTTATGTATTTATGGTTGATTGGTAGTTGAATATACAGATTGATTCTGATTTTTTGGTTTTCTTTTTGGTAAGATTATGTCATAGTTGCCCTTTCTACAAGACGGGGTCTCGCTTTATCACCCAGACTGGATTGTGGTGATGTGAACACAGCTCACTGCAGCCTTAACCTTCTGGGATCAAGCGATCCTCCCACCACAGCCCTTCAAGTAGCTGGGGACTACAGGTGCATCCCACCATGCCTGGCTAATTTTTGTATTTTTTTGTAGATACGGGGTTTTGCCATGTTGCCCAGGCTGGTCTCGAACTCCTGATCTTAGGCAGTCCGCACACTTCGGCCTCTCAAAGTACAGGGAGTAAAGGCATGAGCTACCATGCCTGGCCCTAACTTTCTGTCTTTAACTCTTTGGATTCATAATCGTATATATTGTATAGAGGAGGCTTGGTTTGTTTTTGGTTTTGTTTTTCTTTCCTTATCAGTTTTTACAAAAATGAGTTAGGTCACCAGCTTCTCTCAGTGATGTCCAATTAAGGTTTACTTGTTTTATTTTAAAAGTCATTGTGGGCCGGGCGCGGTGGCTCAAGCCTGTAATCCCAGCACTTTGGGAGGCCGAGGCAGGTGGATCACGAGGTCAAGAGATCGAGACCATCCTGGTCAACATGGTGAAACCCCGTCTCTACTAAAAATACAAAAATTCAGCTGGGCATGGTGGTGCGTGCCTGTAATCTCAGCTACTCAGGAGGCTGAGGCAGGAGAATTGCCTGAACCCAGGAGGCAGAGGTTGCAGTGAGCCAAGATCGCGCCATTGCACTCCAGCCTGGGTAACGAGCGAAACTCCGTCTCAAAAAAAAAAAAAAAAAAA